GGATTGGATGCTCTTCTCCAGCTCTGGAGAGGCTGGAAGCTTGTCCTGCTGAGGCATCTGAGCTCGTTAGGAGAGCTGTGAACACCTACACGCAAAGCCTTGCAACCCCACTCCCAGTGTGTAAATCCCACATCCCAGCTCTAGAGTCTGGAATCACTTGGAGAGTTTAGAAATTTGACCTAGAGAATGAAAGGAGAAGGAGGAAGGGACCAGAAAGTCCTTGTTTGGACACAGCCAGGATGGGAGCTGGGTCCTCCTCGCTGTACCCTCACCAGGACCCCCTGCGTGCCCTGGCCCCACCAGGCTCTGGAGAGGCCCCTGCTCATGGAGCTGGTGGCCATGGGGCATGCAGAGGTGTCCTGGGGCCTGCTGTCCTGGTCCCCCGTGTCATCCCCACTGTCTGTGCACAATGACAAAACGTGGATGGAGAGTCCCACCAAGAGCAGGACCCTCCGTACTCGCAGCAGATGGACCCATTTCAGCAGTGCCCTGGGATAGCATCACAGAGACGGGACAACCTTGTGAAGGACAAGCCTGTCTCCTGACAGTGTACTTCTCGCTTGCGAAGACACAGACTTGGAGTACAGCTATGCTGTCGGCCCAGGGAATGTAACTCCATGCCAGCTGTGGGGACACCGCAAGCTGCCAGAGTCCCATGGCTAATGAAAGCCAGCTTCCAGCTAAACCAGGTGTGATGAGCCACCACAAGCAGCTGGAATTGCAGGGCAGTGGGGTTACACCACTAAAACCAGGGTGCAGGTTCAGCCAGCCCTGACAGCAGGGCCTGGAAGGCACCAAGGGATGGGGACGCACCCAGAGTCTAGCCAGCTCCCTGCTAACAGATTCTCGTGCAAAATGAGCCCGCCTTCCTTGGGCTCAGGTCTTGCTAGGGTGGCTAGCTCTAGCTCTGATCCCTCCAGAGAAGCATCCCTTATTTCCTCCCTCCCCGCTGCTGAGCTCCTGCCGCTTCCTCCGTGGAGGATTGGAAAGATGGGGCTGTCATACCTCGGGGACACCTAACAGAACTGTGTCACGTAGCCTCTGAGATAGCCACTGCCTGGCTGGGAACTCAAGGTGGCTCCAGCCACAGGGCGTTTGATATTCAATGCTCATGAAGAGAAGTTAAACAAGATGTGACAGAGGCAAGGTCACATTAATGTGTAGCTTTACATGTGCTACAGTCGCCTTCATCTCTCTCCTTTGCCAGCTCCCAGCAGCATCATCCAGATCCAGACCTTGGGTCCAAAAGAGCCAAGGGCAGTGGTAAATGGGGTTGTTTTCAGCCCTGAGTGCTTGTGAGGGCAAATGGGTCATTTGAACCCATCTCAGCTCACCTGGCGGCTGGCAGGGATATGTGATGGTGACCAGCGAGCTTTTGGGTGGCTGCACTGTTGTCCAGCTTGAACACTGACCCCAAGGGCTGCTTCAGAAGAGAAAAAAGCACTTTCTGCTCAAGTTTCCAGCCTGACCCACCGGGCAGAGAAATGCTCCAATCCCTCAGGTGCAGAGAGAAATGTGGCCAAGTAGGACTCGTTCCTCCTTCAATGATGCTGGCCAAGCAGTCTGCTCCTTCCCACACAGCTGGTCCAAGCTCCTTCGTCCACAGGACTGCAGTGTCCTCCCTTCCTTCACCCCCTAGACACGCTTCAGAGCCACAGAGTCCCCAGGCTCAGGTCCCACCTTGCCCCACGCACCCACACGTGGGCTCTACAGGCCGTGTCTGGCTCTTGCAGGGACTGGAGTGACTGCACACGCTTGCACGTGGACACACGGGTGTGCACATGCTCACACACATGCTCCTCTGCACCCCATGGGACGCTACAGCAATGGCGTTAGACAGCTCTAGACCATAAATCCGTCTGGCCTCGCTTGCTCCCTGCTCCGCAGCCCCAAGGCCATCCCAAGGTCTTTCCTCTGCATCGTCCCCAACTCGGGATCTGCCACTCCCTGTCCACTGCAGCAGCTCTTTAACCAAGCATGGTGCTTGGCAGCTCTGCCTCGCTGGCAGACGGTCACGGCACCCAGAGCAACCCGAGCTGTGAAACACGCAGCTCCATGACGAGCCAGTCTGCATGGAGGAGCAACGGCTCAGCCCACCATGCTGCAGTGTGGGCAGCTGCAGGCAGCTGCAGGCAGCCTTATTCCCCAGGCAAGGCTTTGCGAGATGCTGCAGCTCTCCAGCTTTCTCCCTGCTCTCCCTTCCATGAGTTTTTGCCCATGCCTTGATGCCCAGCTGGCAGCTGGTCTCAAGTGAGGTACCCCAGGGTCTGTACTAGGGCCATGTTCCCCATCCTCATCAGAGGGTTGGATGAGGAGACAACTGCACCTTTGCCTTGCAGGTGGGGTTAAACTAGGGGGAATGGGTGTGCAGTGAAAGGCAGAGCCTCAGTCTAGGTGGACCCCAAGAAATTCAAAATTTGGGTCAACAGAAACCTCATGGATATCAACAAGACAGACCAGAAACTTTCACCCAGGCTGGGGCCCAAAGGGCTAAGCAAGGTCCCAGTGAAAAGGACCCGGGACACAGTCCCAAACAAGGTCCCTGGACAAGAGGCTGAACAAATGGGGCAAGCTGCCTCCCTGGGCAACATGAGGTGGAGTGTGGCCAGCAGCCTGAGAAAGTCCGCAGCTGGGTGCTGTGCCCAGACTGGTCCCCCAGTTCAGGCAGAGGTGGAGGAGCTGGAGAGGGACCAGCAGATGCTGCTGGCAGGGCTGGGGCCTGGGGCTACAAGAAGGGTGGGTTGGGATCTACCAGCTTCGTACAGTCACCTGGAGGGCAGATGCAAAGGCGACGGAGCCACGCTCTCTCGGTAGGGCATGAGATGTAACGAAGTACAACAGACATTAATTGCAGCTTCAGGTTGGACAGTAGGAATTACTGTTTTATTTTCCTGGGGAGGTGGTGCAGCTGTGGGACGTGCCAGCAGGGAGGTAGGGCAAGTCCATCCTTCAAGACACAGATGGGTAAAGCCATGGATGACCTTATCCTGGGCTGGTGGTGTTCCTGCTCCAAGCGGGAGGGTGGGCTAGAGACCCCCAGGGGTCCCTTCCCACCAGCATCACCAGGATCCTGTGAGCCCAGAGAGGGGCAACCTCCCCACCTGCAAATTCTTTCCCTTCCGCACTCCAGGAGCCCACCCCACAGACCCAGGACACCTTGACAGTCAAGGTCCTGTGCACTGGACCACGGCCCCATCCCAGGCACACCAGGACCCGCGCTGGCCCGCATCCCACCGATGCTGAAGCCCATCGCTTCCGCCGCGCTGCTGAGAGGCCTGGCTGATGCTCCCGGCAGGTGATCAGCTGATCCCGCCAGCGAGCTGGTGCTGCAAAGTCAGGCACGGAGATTGCCAGCGTGCCAGTGAGGGGAGAGCAGGGCCGGCAGGGACGGGGGGCTCGGGGAGCCAGGGACAGCTCTGCCCTGAAAGCCGAGCCACCTGCGCGCTGCTACCTGCTGAATAATAGAGGAGCTGACAGCCAGCCGGAGAGAAATGTGATCCTGGTTAGCCAGCCGGGGAAGACATCTGAGCTCCCAGCAGCTGCAGTAGCAACTGCCTGCTCTGTGCAGCGCAGCGTGGTCGGGGTGGCTGGAGGTCTCTGCCCGTCCCGGTGTGCCTGGGTGGCCGGTGCCCTCTCCAGGGGCACGGGCTCAGGGCTCGGAGGATGATGTGAGCTGCAGCAGGCACCCAGCAAGGCAGAGCTCAAGGGCACAGACGGTTTCCCAGGAAGTGAGGCAGAAGGAGCCTGCCTGCAGCCGGTGCCCGCGCCCTGGGTCCGCCAGCTCAGCCCCATGTCCAGAGGAGCAGAGATGGTTTATATCCCGGATGACTCCGACTTCAGCTCCTTCAGGGATCAGTGCGAGAGCTTGGAGGGCTGGCACTGTCGGTATAACAAGGCTGGCGTGACCGTGTGGAGTCAGGGCCAGGAGGAAAGCTGCACCGTGCAGAAAATCAAGGTAAGCAGACGCCGGCGGCTGCGGAACCGCCAGCCCTTCCCTGCCCCCGCTGCTTTTTCCTGAGGGTCCCTGGGGTGCTGGCCCACCCTGGAGATGCACGGCACCCTGGCCAAGCCTGCCTGGGGGTATTTCTGCTCTGAATGCTGGCAGGGTTAGTCCCCCAGAGGTGCTTCCCCAGCTGGCAAGCTGCTCTGCAGGCTCTCCCTGCCTGCCCCGTGGCTTTAGCCTCTCGACCTGTTGGGATGCCCACTGCAGCGTCCTGCCATGTACGCACGCGTACAGGCTC